ACCTTGCTAGCGTGTGGTTTATGGCTCTATTTATCTCCATCATTTTAACTGGTGTACTTGAGCTTCGATGGAGTGGTGTTACCATTGAAGACTTGTGGCGAAATGAGCAATTCTGGGTCATTGGAGGTGTTTCTGCTCACCTTTTTGCTGTGTTTCAAGGTCTACTCAAAGTTCTTGGTGGAGTAGACACAAACTTCACTGTCACAGCAAAAGCAGCAGATGATACTGAATTTGGAGAACTCTATCTTTTCAAGTGGACTACACTTTTAATTCCACCAACCACTCTTATAATATTGAACATTGTAGGAGTGGTGGCTGGAGTATCTGATGCCATCAACAATGGATATGGTACATGGGGTCCTCTATTTGGGAAGCTTTTCTTTGCCTTTTGGGTCATTGTTCACTTATATCCTTTCCTCAAAGGTCTAATGGGAAAGCAAAACAGGACTCCTACTATAGTGGTCTTGTGGTCAATCCTTCTAGCATCTATTTTCTCATTGATTTGGGTCCGGATTGATCCTTTCTTGCCTAAGCAAACTGGTCCAGTACTCAAACAATGTGGTGTAGAATGCTGAGACTGTGTGAAGAGGCATGCTGATGGGGTGTTTCTTCCAAATTCATTTGATGAGTAATGGCACTTATGTGCATGCTTTTCTAATTTTCTTACTGCTATTGAGTGTTTGCCTTTCTGAGAAGAGTTATTGCTGTACATAAGTCTTAAAGGAGAAAATTGGATCTGATTGGAATGTATTCATTTCAAGATACAAATAAACCATATATTGCAGCAATTGTCACTGTTTTGGAAAACATATTCTGAGTTTTGGTGCTATTGGAGATTATTTTTCATCTATTAGATCTTGATTCTTGAGAATATGACTCAATTTTGCCAGCTTGTTATCAATTTGCTACATTAGCTCAAAGCCACTCCTAAGTATCATTTCAGATTACTAATAACTGAAATAATATTCATTTTACATTAATAATAAAGAGTAGTTTATTGCCTTTGTACCATGTGTTGCCACGCATACTCCACCAAAGGTGGTTTTCCTTCCTTTGCAGGTATTGTACACGAGTCCCATAGTCAAAAGCCAATTAGAGAGAGAGAACAGAGAGCATAAAATATTAAAATGGATTGCTTAATGATGTTTGATTTTGTTTTTAGAGTTAGATGATATATCTTTATTAATAATTATAAGATTTTTTTTTTTAATTTCTGCAAGAGAAACATTTTAAAAATATTCTTTATTCTTGATTATTTTCACAAAAAGTTTAAAGTCAGGAAACAGAACAAAAATAACATAACATTTTATTAAAAATATCGTTAAAATCATTAAAAATAAAAATAATTGTGGTTTCTACACTTGTTTCACCTTTTTTTTAATATATATATATATATATATATATATATATATATATATTAAAAAAATTAGGAATTGATTATTATCATTTAAAGAAGTTATAATAGTATTGGAACATTTTTTATGCATAGATGAAAATGAAAAATAACTTGTCATGTGTAGGATTCATTGTTTCTTCGTAAAGATTTAAAGAAAACAAAATAAAAATAAAATAATTTTTTTAATTAATTATAAAACAATACACAAAATACAAACCGAAAATAAATCAATCACAAATTTCTTTACACTTTTCCCCAGAATGAAGCAATGGTGGGTGGCGCCACTCGATTGAGCGTTGCCGTAGCATACATTCTTGTTAGGTGAAATTAAAAAAAAAAGAAAAAAGCGTTACTTTATAATATGAAAAAAATAATTATTAATTACTATATGACATAAAATCTCGACCAGCCAAGCAACAGCAATTTGGTAGCTATTCTCAACAAATAACAAAACAAAACGAAGTATGGGATTCAGACAATTTGGTGTTTTCAAAATTTAAACGGATAAAACATATATAATTGCTTACGTTTTTAACATCAAATTTATGTATTACATAAGTTATTAAAAAATCCTCATATTATTATTTAAATTACAAATTTGATAGTAAATATTGTTGTATTTCAACTTACGATTATCGCATATGACACAGTAAGCACATTTTTATTAGGATTTATAATTAATTTTAATGGTTGCTGTTGACTGGAGCTGTTTCTGGGACCTATTGATAAATTGTTTCCTCGATGGTGGGCCATAAACTTACAAGATATTTCAATTCAATACATTTCTACTAATTAATAGTATTTATATTTAAATAATGAATTACTGATAATTACTATTATTTTTAGAACCCTTTTCTGATTCACTAATGACTTTTTAGGGCCTCAATCAAATGCTTTAGTATCCTTATACTTGCCTGAACTTGTAAACAATTTATTTGGTTTATTCAATATAAAATATTTCTAAACTTATATAATATGTTTTGATTAAATTAATTATTTAGTTCTAGTAAATAAAATTTGAGTTATTGTGACCATTCACAAAGTAAAGGTGAACTAAAGAAATCTTAAAATGTAAAAAAATTAAATAATTTCAATTAATATTAATATGCATTTAAATTTTATTACTTTAAAATATTTATCAAACAGTAATAATAATAATAATAATAATAGTTTTCATATATATATTTAAATATAAAGTAAATACTCATAATATTATTTTTAAATGGTAATTCATCTCATAGATGTGAAATAAATTTCAAATATTTATAATATAAACTTTGATTTGAATTTTTCTAATTTAAAATATGTTTATAAAAACAATAATTCTGATAATTAAAAAATAAAACAGTTTTTAAGTATACATATTTATATATCAACTTTAAAATTATTAATTTATCATTTATTAATATTTTTCTACAATGAATTTTAGTAGTATGAAAGGTATAGACATAATAATTATATTTTAACTAATGAGTATATTGTTTAATAGTTTTATTTTTTATTTATGTATTATAATTAATACATATAACTTTTACTACTAAATTGCATTCAATTTTTTTAAAATTAAATTTTTTCTGAATAATAATGAAATATAGAGTTTTTAACATATATTTTTACATATCAACTTTATAAAATAATATGTATTTTAATTAATGAACATACTGCTTAATAGTTTTTATTTATGTTAATTATATATTACATTTAATAAATATTGAATTTAATAATAAATTGTAATAAATATTTGCATATATCTATAAATTAATTTTTTTATATTTAATTAGAAAAAAATCTCTTTAATTAAGATTTGATTTGAGTTTATCCACTTTACCTATTGCCTAATAGTTTTTATTTATGTTAATTATATATTACATTTAATAAATATATATGGCATTTGATACTAAAATGTAATAAATATTTGCATATATCTATAAATTAAATTTATTTTTATATTTAATTAGAAAAAATTCACTTTAATTAAACTTTGATTCGAGTTTATTCACTTAAAAATATTAAGTTCAAATGAATATATATATATATATATATATATATATATATTAATATAAATCAATTTAGTGTTTAGTACTAGAAATTTTATCCACCCAAATTTTCGTTTGTTAAATATCTATAAACTAATTTATAGATATAAATCTGATGTAACAAAACTATTATAAGTCACTTTATTTTGTATGAGATTCTATTCACATCCATGTGAAGATCATATCAATATATAACGTGTTATAGATCTCTTCCATCAATTTCTGAAAACCACCAAATTAGGAAGACATTAACTATTATACATTGAACAAAAGCAATTAACACAACAACAGTCTGCCATAATTTTTTATATATTTTTTTAAAAGAAAATAATGAGAATCACTTTGCCAAAAGGAAATAAGTATTGTGAATGATTACAAAATCCAAAGCGATGCTTATTTCCTTTTGTAATGAAACTTTCGATAGCAGTTCCTTTTGATAGTTGTTCTAACCCTTTTGCATATATCGCATTTTGTTTCCTTTCTAATTTTTCTTAATCATCAAAAGTTATTCCAATGGTTACCTAAGGTTTGTCTGTAAAGGAAAATCACCCAAATATTATGAAGGGAGCGAGGGAGGGAGAATTTGCTCATGTTCTGAGATTCATTTAAAGGAAAATTGAATAAAAATTAGAATCTATTTTTCATTTTATTTTACTCTTATTGTCCAATCACTTGTTTTGTTTTATTACCAATTAGCCAATGGTCAGATTTTTCAGAACATGTGGTATATAGTAAATATTTAAACTGGTATTTCATATAATGCAGAACATGAATTTGGTCCTATATTCTGTATATCAACTTGGTCTTTTGTAATATAAACAAAGTTTAATCTAGGAACTAAATTAAAGATGAATTGAGAGACTAAACTGATGTTTAATTTGAATATTATATAGCTATCTTAATATTCAAAATCTTAAAAGAACTAATTCAATACCATATATCTTTAGAGGATTAATTTAAACATTTAAGTTTATTATTTTTTATATATCAACTATTGTCAAATTAATTATATTCAAATTGTTATTCATATATAATGGTAAAATAATTTTATTAAAACTATTTACATATTTAATGGTACAATATACAAACAAGAAGATTTCTTAATATTTTTCTCTTACAAAAATAATTAATTTCTCCAAAATTTAAATTCTTCTTCTTTATTTTTAAATTTTACATTTTAATGTATAAAAAATAAAAATATTCTTAATTAACAAAACAAAAAATCAGTATTTGTATTTATTCTTGATTGTCTCCTTTTACTAAAAAAGAATTTCACCTATTGTCAAATAAATTTTATTTTAATGTTTTAACATATGCAACGTTACACAAAATAAAAGTTATATATAAAATTTTTATAAAAAAATATAATAGTTAGTATTATTAATACATTAAATTACATTAAATTTTATAATTTATAATAAAAATTCAATATATATAATTTATTATCGTTTTAATATTACACATTATAAAAATCGTAAATAAAGGATAAATTTAAATTTGGAGGACATGCAATTAATTTTGAAGTGTGGTTATGAGCTTTGGGCATCCGTGGCTTTATATAAAGGGTCATGGGGAACATGCAGAGAGACAACCAATTCAATAGCGTAAAAGGAGCAATAAGTATCTTAAAAGAAGGGGAAGAAGGAACACTTATTACACCATTACTTTCTTCTTCCCAACATCCCTTTCTCTCTGCACATATACTAGAGAAACAAAAATCCACATTAGTCTCCAAAACTATGAGATTCTCAATCTTATCCTTTCTCTTATTGTTGGTGGTACAAGAAGCAACTTGCTTCAATCACCCCACACCAATGTCTCATTTCAGGAATAAACTTAAGGATAGAATGGTCATGGGTCTTTCCCAAGCACCCTCTCCATCTCCAGATACCAAAAGGGTAGGTGTGATTATTATTATAGTTTTTCAATTTCTGGCATTTGATTTTTGTGAAACTGAAAGCAAACAACAACCTGATTCTTTGCATGGTTTTGGTTTTGAATATGAAATAGGGAGGAAGAGTGGTGTATCCAAGTGAGTATGGTGCAGACCCTACAGGGGCAGAAGACAGCAGTGATGGCATTATGAAAGCAGTAGGAGAAGCATTTGGGATGGAGAGTGGGCTTGAGTTGCTGCCAGGAGTTAGAGACCTTGGAGGTGTTATTATTGATCTGCAAGGTGGCAACTACACAATCAGCAAACCCATCACATTCCCTTCCTCTGGTGGTGGCAATGTTGTGGTCAGCATCTTTCTTTCCTTTCTCTTCCCTTTAGGTCTACTTTGGTGCTGCATTACTTGTTTCTCTTTTTTGGTTTGCTGCATTTCTTAGTTGTCACTGTCTTCACACCTCTTAAGGAATTAAAAAAAAGACATAAATTATGTGTAGTAAATGTTGGTATTTATGATTAGCCTACGTTACTTACTATATGTAATTCTAATAATATAAAAAATATTTAAGTGAATTTATTTAAAAGTAACTGCTAAAGTTAAATAAGGTTTTTTTTTTAGAATATTTATGCGTTTTTTTTTAAAGGTAGCTGCCACGGTAAGAAGAAGAAACAATAAAATAATAGTTAACAAAGAGAAAAGGAATTATTGTATTTAAAATATAAAAAATATATTAAATTTATTTTTTACAAAGAAATACTAAAAATCATGTGAACCTCATTCATTCACACTCCTAATTTATTGATTTTTTTCTTATATTTTAATAATTGTTAATATATTTTAATTAATAATTAAGAGTGTATTAAAGATTATATTAAATTTAGCCACGATGAAGCCAGCTATTTTTTTTTGGTCTCGTGCGAGTAAATTAGCATATTATTATTGGAGGCTAGTTTCATTTGTAATATTGACATTGACTCTTGAAGCAGTGCGTTTTCATGGGTATCTACTATCCAGCTCAAGTACAATAATGGTGCGGGGAAGAGTCTCACAACTCCTAATAGATTACTTTCCCTTCTTTAGTCACGCCTAATTAATTTCTATGGTAATCATAGTTAAAACATCACTAAGCAACGAATACCAGCCTCATGGGATTGGATTTACATTTGTCTAATTCAAACATTTAGGTGAATTAACCAAAAACAGCAGCTGTGAGGATTAATTGTTTTTCTAAAGTTACAAATAGAAACAAAAAATCAACCCAAAATGTTTCACTTATTTCTCCCCAGGCAAAAGTATAGTTATTTTATTTATTTAGTTTTTTATGTTAAAAGGTTAATTTGATCCTCTATCTTATTTTTTAATTTCATGTTAGTCATTTATATCAACTTTATTATTACATCACTTAACAGAAGTGATATTATCATCATTAAACTTGGTCAATACCCTATTCTTCCTTTATCTTCTTCCCAAGAAATATAGACTAATGATGCAACTGCCACCATTTTAGTGGCGGAATCATGTCTCATTCATTCCCTAAAACTAGTGCTCAGATCTTTAACTTCAAGCCTCCTCCCTCCTTATAAAACACACTTTTCTCACATAAAATATCTTCGTATAAGAGGATTTTACTTTTTCATGTTATTAAGTAACATAATATAATTATATTAGAGATAACGGTGTAAAAAAAATTTCAACTTTATTTAATGAGATTTAAAATTAATCAAAATTAATTTTATTAAACAAAATGGGCACCCATGAAAAAATTTATTTTCAAATTTGGTTACTTTTCAACTTAGAAATTTCGTATAAAATGGGTACAGAATATCTTAGAACTCTCAAACTCAAAATCTTCTAATCAATCACATTAGCTTCTATTTAGATAGAGAAGAGATTTAAGTCCCATATTTAAACTTGTGTATGTTGGCGTTCGAGGTGTTAAGGATGGATTTGGTTTATGGAGTTTGATGGCATGGAACAGGGTTTAACGTAGGGAGACATGGCTATTTGGTTGATGACGTGGCACAGGGTGTGGGTGAGATGATCTTGGCTTGATGACATGGCTTTTGTGGATTAATTCAAAGGAGTGACGGTTGACTTTTTTGAGGGTTTCTAGAAGATGGAGCATTTGGACTTTTTATTTTATTTTATGGAAAGCCCAATGAATAATATTTTGTTTTTGGGATCTCGGGCCAAGTTGATAACATCTGATCAAGAAATGTAATTGGTGAAATGTTGCAATTAGTGGATCCCACACTTAAACATTTCAACAGTGAGACAAGAAATGCAATTGGTGAACTGTGGCAATTTTTTTTTCATTTTTATTTAATTGTTTTAAAAAATTATTATTTAAAAAATAAAATAATAATAATTTTATATTTAGATGAAAATATATAATAAAAATGATATATTTTTAAGTAAATTTATTTTAAATTATTATAAAAATATTTTTATATCATTTATTTATTTCTTTTAACTCTTTTTTCTACTTTTTTCTTTCAATTTTTATTCATCCAAACAATACATCATTTCTACTTTATTTCTTCTGTAAATACATCTTTCCTTTTTCAATCCTCTTCATTTCATGCACTTTCCATAATAAAAGACAAAGGGGATATTATCTTATCAACGATCAATGAGCATGTCATTCTTAATTATTCCATTAATATATTTTAGATTAAATATGGGTGTTTTTCTTATAATTTCAAGTACTTTCTTTCTTTTCTATTTTATATAAATTTTAAATATTCATGCATTCGGTGTGACACATCATTTTTTATCTACTTCACCTAATAATGCGAGCCATAAATGGACACTAGGAAGACACCATCCTGCACGTTGATATTGGTATTCGATCAACTTTCATCAGCCTAGACTTTAGATCTCGATCACTGATATTTGTCACCTATGGATTAATGGTTCCACCCAGCATAGTTCCTTCATATATATGCAGTTGTATACTATAAATCAATTTGGGTGGTTTTAACTCATTCGTACTGCTAGTTATATATCTTTAATTGCAAACATATTTTTAAAAACTTGATAATAGCTAATTTAATTATATTCACGTTACACAAATTAAACTTTAACTAAATTAACTCAAATTTCTTTTTTACAATTTTAATTTAGAGTTTTGTTAACTTCAACCCTTAGAATTGAAGATAAGCAGTTAATAATAAGAAAATTAAAAAAAAAAGAGAAACATTTATTATATTTTTATAATTTCAATATAATAGCTATATATTTCTTTTATAAAATTTTTTTATTTATGATATTTAAACTTAGCTTTAAGAAAGGAGGTTAATGAGATACTTTAATTTATTATACTTTAGTGTGGAAGAACGTAGCTAATTAACTAGCATTTAATGCATATACTTTTCATTAGCTGCTATTAATTCTTTTAATAAATATATCAGCAAATGCTTGTTATGGTGGATCTTTGATTGATTATATATAAAAGACTAAAAAGTGAAAGAAAAGTAAAAAAAAAAAAAAGCAGTCTATGACTAGTGATGCTAATTGGTACTGTAAAATTTTGGGGACCCCAATATCATCAACAGCTATAACTTGACACAATTTTATCATCCTTAGACAGGTTTAGTAGATTGTCAGTGTATAATTAGTCAAGAAACTATATATAGGGGAAGTTAAATTGAAGTCATTTTTTTAACCCAACATTTACATGAATGATAATTGATCAGGTACAAGGAGGGAGCTTAAGAGCTTTGGATAAGTTCCCTACTGATAGGCATCTTATTGAGTTATGGGCAACAAATTCCCAAAAGCTTCCAAAAACAACAGATTTCAACAGCATTAAACTTCAACAAACAATTGGAATTTACTATGAAGACATAACCTTTAGAGACATCCTATTTGATTCAAGCTACAAGGGTGGAGGAATCTTCATTATTGGTTCTGCTAGAATCAGAATCAACAACTGTTTCTTCCTCCATTTCACCACAGAAGGAATTCTAGTACAAGGTGGGCATGAGACCTTCATATCAAGCAGTTTCCTTGGGCAACACTCAACAGTTGGTGGAGACAAAGGGGAGAGGAACTTCTCTGGCACTGCCATTGATCTTGCAAGCAATGATAATGCAATCACAGATATTGCAATTTTCTCTGCAGCCATTGGTGTTGTTCTAAGGGGTCAGGCCAATATGGTCACAGGAGTGCATTGTTATAACAAGGCCACAGGTTTTGGTGGCATAGGCATTTTGGTGAAGCTAGCAGGAAATTCACAAACTAGAATTGACAATTGTTACATGGATTATACAAGTATAGTCATGGAAGATCCGGTTCAAGTTCATGTCAGTAATGGGTTTTTCTTAGGAGATGCTAATGTTGTTTTGAAATCAATTAAAGGAAAAGTTTTTGGATTGAATATAGTTGATAATATGTTCAATGGGAACCCCAATAACAAAGTTCCAATTGTTGCTCTAGATGGGCAATTTAGTAACATTGATCAAGTGGTGACTGATAGGAACAATGTTATTGGTATGAGTTTGAGATCAACGATTGGGAGGTTAACTGTGGCAGGAAATGACACAAAGTGGGTGGCTGATTTTTCAAATGTTTTGCTATTCCCTAATCGGATTAGTAATTTCCAATATTCATTTTACTCACAAGGGGAGGTTAAGTTCTTGGCACATTCAGTGACCAATGTATCAAATAATGTTGTAGTTGTGGAAAGTGAGAAACCAGTTCAAGGGGTTGTTTCCTTCTTCGTTCAGCAGTGATAAATTATTTATATGGGATTTTCGGCTTTGTCTTTCTCTGATTTAATAACATTGTGATTCATGTAAAGAAAGCAAACTTACTTTTCATTCAGTTAATCTATCATTACTTTCGAGCATTTTTCTCTTTCTTCCTGCTGGACACTGTAAAATTGTATATTCATTCCGACCCTTTTTATAATACCCTTTCAATTAAATCACATAGATATAATCTATATATTTTTAAAATATTAATTATAATATTTCAAGTTTATTTTTAATTAAATTTAAATTTTATTATTATATTAATTATTAAGAAGTTATAGAGATTTAATAATAAAGGGTAAGTGTGTAAAAGAATAATAAATGTTTTTAAAATTTGTAAGGAGTTATATATTAAAAGATCAATATATATCTATAAAATATTCTGATAAAAATAACTAGGAGTATATTATTAAAAAAAACATCTTGTATGTATGAATTTAAACAATATTCTAATAAATACTTTATCGTACATTTTTCTCTCTTTTATTCTTATTTCGTTATTTAGAAATTATTTTGTATAAAAATATTTAAAAAGTATTTTATAAAATTGTTATGTAATATCAATTAGTTTTGCGTCATATATTAGTCATAAATACTCTATATATGTATTCCTTGATGACGATGATAATTTATTTTTATATATGAAATGTGAGTCCTTGATTTTAAATAAAATATTTATAATTTTTTTTCTTCATATGTATTTCTTTACATTTAATATTAAATTTTTAAAAAATTTAATCTTAATTTAAAATTTGAATTTTTATAATTTATTTCTTAATTTTATTTTATTTTATATAGTGAAATATTTATTATTGAAAATAAAAAATATATTATTTCTAAATTTATAAATTTATTATATTTAAAAAATTTACAATAAAATTTTAATTTTAATTTAAAATATTTTCATTTAATATGATAATACCAAAAAAAAATTATTAATACTATCTCTGATCTTGTTTATAAGAAATAAATAATTTTGAGGACCAATAAAAAATTATTCATATATTATAAATTTATACTCTATTTTAAAAATATATAGTATTAATTATTATTTTATGTATTAAATTAATGAGTGTGTACTTATATGGATAAAATGTGATATTTTTAGTAATATAAATCTTACAATAAATAAAGTACGAAAAACAATTTAAGAATTCATGTTTTTAAAAGTAGATCTTTATTTATTATAATTTAAATTTAAAATATCTAATATTCTTTTCCTTATAATAAAACCAGAGTTACTGTAGTGGCAGAGAAGGGTCAAAGTAGAATAGTTTGAGTGATAATCAAATTAATTCTAGCCACTAATGCTCAATCATACGTAAACTGGTGAAATATATATAATACTAAAAGACTGAAAAGTTAAAGAACATTATCCTCTCCACAACTTGCTGCATCTTAGCATTCACGTTTACCCAAAAAAACAGGAGTCTCTTATGTTATGTTTGGATAAAATAAAAAACAAATAGAAAGAATAATCCAATTTGATGTATCAAAGAAACAGCATGAATCTCTTATGCTATGTTTGAATGAGAGAAAGATATGAACAAAGTTTTATGAATGTGCAAAATAATCTAATTTAATATATTAAAGATTGTTTTCCTAATTAATTATATACGTCATTCTTTAATTTTAAATTAATTGTACATTTTCTATAACTTCAAGTATTTGTAATTCATAATTTTCTTATCTCTACTTTGAATTTATTAATAGTTTGCATATAGTTTAAAATAAATATTTATAATTGCACCTGTAAAAATAAATTTTTAAAATACAACTTTAAAATATAAAGACATTGAATTTTTTTTTTATCAATAAATTGTGAGTAAATCACGCGAACATGCTACACGGTACATCAAACTTGAAATCTTAAAATATTAGGTTATATATATAGTGTTTAAAGAATGTTACTCAATTTGTTGGTTTCTTTCTAATATAGAACTCTTGGATTGACAATTGATAATTCCACAAATATAAACATTAGTATTGGTTTAGATTATGTCTTCCATCACATCAAAGCGAAGGTTAGTGATGACATTGACTCAGCCTGTGTTGTTTTACATCTCAAAATTGATTCTGAATATCCTCGAAATGGAATTCCGGGTAAAAGAGAATTTTTAAGAATTCAAATTGAGCAATGCCATCTTTTTTCACTTGTCTTTAAACAAAAAACCCTAGTTCAATAAATTGAATATTAAATATTAAGTTAAAATAAATTCAAAATTTTGAGGAGATAGCATCAATTTCCATATAAATTTGAAGAACATGTTATAAAAATATTCTTCAGAAAAAATATATACTTGTATGTTTGATGCTACCGTTTGTATTTAATACGTGGAACTTAATAACTTTAAGCCGTTTATAAAAATTCTGAAAATTGATTTAACTTTTTTTAACTAATATTCTAGATTTAAAATTATGTATTTAAACAAGATTATTTTTTGTAAATAATGTTGTTAATTTAGACTAAAAAAAAGCTTATATATAAAAAGTATTAATTAATTACATTAAAAATTGAGAGCTTGTGTATCACTGTGATGATTGATACAACAAATTATTGATTTTTAATCATATATAGCAACTTAACTTTAGAAATAGTTGGTTAATAACATGATATATAAAAAATGGTGGTCAAGTGAGGTAGACTCGAATGCATATCACAATACTTTTTGGGTCTTCTTTGAAACGCACAAAGAAAAGGGGAAGACAGTGGATTATCAAGTAAGGAAAATCCCATGTCCTTGCCCCACCAATTTGCAAACACTCTCTCACTTACTATTGGAGCAATCATTTATGTAATTGCCTAAATATACGTTCCCATAGTCTTAATATTTGTACGTATTTTTGTGTCATCCTCTCCATGTTGATGTCCCAAAATGCCTAAAAAACTATCCTACATCATGGCTGAAATTCACTCTGAAACTCCCTTAAGCACACCCACTATTAGCCCCACCATAAGCAACATTCCATCACAACATGCCCTAAATTTGATGGTTCTTTTGGCAGCCATAGTGTGTGCCTTTCTTTGTGCTCTTGGTCTCAACACAATGTTACTATGTGTTTTCCAATGTGCTAATCGTGTCCTCACTCAGCCCCTTCAATGGATTGCTTCTCGTAGGCTCAATTCTGGTCTCAAGAAGAAAGAAATGATAGCTTTGCCAACATTCACTTACTCTACCAATTCTTGTCCTTCTAATTGTGCCATTTGCTTAGTAGATTTCTCTGATGGGGACATTATAAGGTTCCTCCCGAACTGCAATCACCGTTTCCATGTGGGTTGCATTGATAAGTGGCTTCTTTCTCATTCTTCTTGCCCAACTTGTAGGAACTTACTCAAGTTCAGTCATTGATTAAATGTTGTCATATCATAGTTCGAATTTGTATAAATTCTTATCCAATTAACTCTTTTTAAACGATTGTTTTGTTGGGAGTATGGTAATATGTGTGAGCCTACTCTCGCAAACTTGCACAACCTTGGTGCCCCAACTGGTCAGAGTGGGAAGTGTTTGATAACTATTCTATTTATAATTTAAAGAACTACATTAAATTAGTATATCCTTGGATTTGCTCGAGTCTGAATTTTCTATCCTTAAATAATATTATATTATAGAAAAAAATAGAAGAAAGAATGAGTTCTTAAGAAAAGAAATTTCATAAAAACAGCAATTTGAAAGGTCATACATGACATGCAGTTTTGTTGGATAGATTTAATAAATATTACAATTATATATATATATATATTTTAGTAAACCCTTGAATTAGTCTTATTTGTTATTAAGATTTAAACTTTTTTAGTAGTCTGTGATTTTATAAAAAATATATTATTCAATAATAATAAATAATTATATATATATATATATTAAATTTGTACTGTTATTTTATATTAAAAAATAAAATAATATCGCTTTACAAAGTTAAAGGATAATAAAAGAATTTTAATATTTTAGTGACTAAAATACATAACTCATACACTTTTAAAATCTTATTTATTTTTTATATCTATTTGCATATATATTTACTTTTTCTTACACTTATTTTTAAAAAAAATATCATTTCTTTTCTTTCTTTTTTCTTCATGTAAATCTCTTTCACCTATTTCACACCTCAAGATAAAATGTGAATTGAAAAAATCATTTTCCTAAGTTTAATATTGGTTATGCAGAACAGATTCTCTCTCCGGACAAAGAATTAACTATAATAAAATGTGTAATTAATTAACAATAGAATATTATAATATTGATATAACCTTCAGATGGAAATTTAAAGGTTGAGATTTTGCTGGAGAGAGATGGAGGGCTGAAGAGGATCCGATCCTTGATTATGCATAGTGGTATTTGTATATCATGAGACTTACAAATGATACTAAGTGATAAATTTTTAAAAATAACACTTTGATCAATTTATGTCAAATTATTATGATAATTATGTATACAAATTTTTATATCATTTAAATATTTATAGTTAGGAAATTTAATAGCATTTTTTACTTATATTTTGAATAATATATTATATACTAAAATAAAATGAAACCGTGAAGTACTATTTGATCTATTCTATAAAAATTTAAAGTTTAAATTAATATAAAAATTAACAAAAAATTGTTAAAAATCGTTTAGTAACACATTACTTGATAATTCACCAGCTTATATCATTTAAGCCTGTCAGACTAACACAAGCAAATTTTACTCTTCTAAGATAAGAAAAAAATAATTAAAGGATTAAGACACTTACATTCATTAATTAAAAGATTAATAGTTATTATAAAATTTTAAAAAATTAATTAACAGTTCAAAATACACTTTATATTTTAAAATATATTGTAGAGTTTAACGGATGTAATAAGGAATCAATGAGTATTTTTTTTTCTTCAATGAATTTTTCTAATCAGTGTAACATTAAAAAAAATTAAAAAAAATAAATAATAAATTTTTATTAAAAATTACAGAATTTAATATTATTTTTCTTCTATGTCTGAATATTCTCTTCCGACAAATGTGTGTGACGAGGCCACTTTTGTCCCATCACATTGTGCGGATTAGGATTTCGTGCCTTTATTACAAAGTAAAAAAAACTACGATTTAGAACAGAACAAGTGTCTTAATTTGAAGAATAAAAAAAATAATATGTTTGTTTGAAACAAAGACAAGACATCACATGTTGGAATAAAAAGTGTAACCAATGATGAAAAGATGATGCTCTTGGCTATGCCACAACACACCACCCCCCAACTTATCTTCATTCATGGTGCTTTGCTCTATCAAACTATCGTGGGGAAAGACAACTTGGATCTTTGTGTGACACATATTATCATTTACAACAACATTTTTCATACTTCAAGTTTCACAGCCATTTATTATTTTTATAATTCTCCATTTTATCTTATTATATTATTTTTTTATTTCTCTTACCATTTAGGATATGTTGTTATGGGAACCTTCATATTTAATAACAAATCTTTCTTAAATATGCTACCTCTTTAATTTCTAAGTGTAAAAATAATAGGCCTACGAATGACATTTCGATATCTAAGTCAGCAAGCGAATTACAAATGTGATAAAATTGATGAGAAATGAAGGTTATTCTCTGTGTATTGGTTAAATAAAAAATGATAATAAGTAATTATCTTTCTCAAAATAAGATAAATGAAACACACACTAAGTCGAATCTTTTCGTGTAGAATAAAGGTTATCTTTGATTTGTATATTTTTATGAACTTTTTGTTTTAGTTTCTCCAAATATTTTTTAATATAATTTTTATATATTTATTCATTTTAGTCTTTCTTACTAACTTGATTCCATAAAAATGTAATATATGACAATCTCTTAGCTAGTTTTATTATTATTTAATAATGAAATTTGTTAAGGTTGAATTTAAGTATTTATAAATAAAATTTTTCATTAAAAAACACATACAAAAAAAATAATAAATATTTCTCTTTCTAATATTACTAAAAAAAATTATATTCGTTATTTATTTAAGACAAAATTAAAATAAAAAATTAATATTTCACTAAAATCTTAAAACGTCACCTGATATGAAAGAAAAAATAGTTTGCTAAAATTTCACTTTAACTTGAAATGAAGGGAATAGATATTAAACTATGTACAAAGGCAAATAATGTCAAAACAATCTTGCATGTATGACTTATCTAGTATTTGTCTAGTAATCCATGGTACAGAGAGGGCAGCTTAGTCATAGAAATGGTTTGGAATCTCAAAATACATAAACTTCTTTATCACTTTAGTCACTGTAGTATTCTACAGATTCATCATCATAGAATTCATCATCATCATCCCACTCATCATAAAGAAGAGATTTCAGCTGCTGTGTCCTTAGTCGTTCTTGAATTCTGTCTCTGATTGCAGTTCCCTAGGATATCAGTAAACCAATCCAATTAATCAATCAAAAGATTTACAAACTACAATATCTAACCAGGGATCAACAAGAGCACATGCAAAAATAAGCTATTCATTATATAGTAAGCAATTTTTTTGAGAGGTAAGAGAGATTCAACCATTTTGTGGCAGCCTTCTTCAAACATCTCAAGAAATCCAGCAACCAACCGATCAGCGTTTTCGACCCATTCATTTCTGTGCATTCCCGCAATTTTCCCTACTGTTTGAATCTGCAAAGCTCAACGACAAAGTCTTGATTGTCATATGAGGATGAATCTTATATTGCAGTCGAAAAGACATAACGAATATACTTAAACGAAGTGAAATTTGAACTGTCTGTCTGAGCATTTGATCCTTCAGCAAAAGACAAAATAAACTGACAATTATGTATATTAGATTGCTGTGATCCAATGCTATAGATTGTATGTTTACTTCACAATATAATGTCTTATATTTTTTGTTGATTACCCATCTAAAATCTTAAAAATAAAAGACCAAGATAAGGTGTTATTTTGATTCTTATGAAGCATACTAATGATAGAACTGAGGGGTGGAAGTAGGAGGAAAGGTGCGTGTCATGGATATTGACTCACTCGCATATTTTAAACAGCATAGGTTCTTTATTACTAATACTTATTATTCCCTAAAAGACTGTAATGGATCATCAAGGATAATCAAAAAAATATTTTTCCCTAATCACAAAGGACATAATTTGCCAAGGCTACATATACCACCTCACCACAATAGCCTACTTTGTGCCTGATGCTGACTAATCCTGGTGGGAAAAGATTGATGCTGAGTTTAGCAGCATTATCAAGTCCACATTCATCCTAATATGAAAACAATCCAAATCTATGTTGATATCAAAGTTATCAAGCACATGAATGCAAAATAAGAGAAACCAAAATAAATAAATAAATAAAAATACTTAACCTATTATTGATAAATTCAATCACAACTGAAATTGAAACATAGATTTAAGATATAAGCAATTCAAACGACCCTAATCTGATAATACAGGTCACTAACAACTCAAATAAAGCTAGGAATACAAAATGAAGTCTAAAATCCTACTAGCAAAAGGAAACCCCAAGACCCATGTCCAAACAATTAACTAAGTTTCCAAAAAATAATTACATCAACAAAAAACGATTAATATAATAATCATTAATATTATTCTATCATTCTGCTTTTCCAATTCACACTATAGTGCAGTGACTGATGCCAATACAGAGCAAAGGCTAATAGCTAATAGAATACGTCACAATCAACATTGTTACCTTTTTTCCCACGTTCTCTTGCTGTCTCTTCACTCTTTCACGCAATTTTTTAAGTCCCATGTTCATTCTCAACCTCTTCTCCTGTGAATAAGAGATTGTGTTACAAAGATAAGTTCTCCCACTTCCAATTATGCAAGAAAGTAAACCAACAAGGAAACCAATCACTAAAACAGGAAAAAATTCAGAGTAAGCAAATAAAAGAATTTAACCAAAAGAACAAACCTTGACATAGCTGACACCTAGCTCCTTTCTTGTATAACCACGGTCCAAATTACGCATTACATACTGATTATAATCTTTAATAATTCTCATTATGATATCAGAAGTAGAAATTCCTTCAGTGCGCTTTGTTTCCTTAAATTTTCCAACAGACTTAACCTACATAAGAAATTAACAGGCATAAGATCATAAATGGAAACACAAAAGTTTGAGAAGGTTACAACTAGTCTTAATTGGATAAGGAATGAAAGAAAAGAGTAAAAGGTGAAATAGAAGACTGACAAAAAATGTTAAAAAATATAAAATTCAGCGAGCCATATGCCGATCAGCATATATTCTGAGAAAAAGAGGGAATGAAAAACTAAATGATAGAAGAAATAAAAGTGGATGCCACAGGAGGGAGAGAGAGAGATAGGAAGAAAGTACATTCAACTATTTGAAACTAAATTAGAACATAGTTCTATCACTTGAACTTACCCATTCATAGACATCCTTTCCAGCTCCACTTGCATCAGCATAACTATGGTAATAGAATAAGGAAAGAATAAGGAAGGAATAACATATATGAGAACATATAAGAACTTAGTGACGATGGTATCAGACAGAATATACTTTTGAGTTATATCACAATGAGAACTGTATCACACAGATAGAATAGAAGCACCGCAAAATTACCAAGTGAAAATAACAATACTGTAAGAATGAAAACAAACTATTAATAATATAATAATGTTAAAAATAAATACAATAAAACAAACAAATGAAAACACAAACTCATCTAACGTAAGACATAATTTTATGATAGATGTAAACAAAAACAGATTAAATTCATGAATCATGTGTAACACCAGAAAAGACAGAGAGATAGAGCACTATGATATAAATTTCAAAGTGTGAACTTTTATTAAAATTATTTTTGGCCACATATGAATTACAAAGGCCAAGATTTGTCATACTTTTACAAATTGTAGTCATTAACGCACAGAAAACCGGAGCTGAATTCAACATCCCATTAGGTGAATTCAGAATGCTGAATGGTGACTAACAGGGAGTTCATCGTTAAATTGAGTTGTGTGCGGTGATATATCTATATCTTCACTAAAAATAATGTACAGAACATCTCTCTTCATCCTCCTAAGCAACCACATATAATCTCCTCCTTATCGGATCACCCAATTTTCCTATATTTATATAAACCTTTTTCTTTTTAAATAGAACTCAGCATCTCTTTTTCCTTCTTAACAGCTATATTTTCAAAACAAATTGAAGTACAAGCCATAAAACTTTCCGTTGCAGTGCCAAAGTATATGTTAACAGTTTTTTTAACTTTTAGGATATGACATTCTATAATCAAAATATGCTAATTTGATGTTTTCTTATTATAGAGCATGTCTCAGTCAATAGCCATGTAATGTCCTATATTTTTAGGAATCTGTTCCGTCCCTGTGTTTGGGGCAGAATTCAGATCCATGTCCAGCAACATAGTGTCATACGATCTGTGTCATGTTTTGTATCCAAGCTTCTAACTTAAGAATCCTAAACTATTCACATAGCAGTGTAAGAATGCTTCCAAGCCCATTCAGTGTAAAGTTCCTTTATTCTGGTGTTGAAAATTTTTCATAAAAAAATCACAATTTTAAACCTTGCTCAAATACAAAGGCAAGCAGCTAGCCTGGGCTGGTTAACCTTACGGAAGAGAATCATGAGCCACATAGTCAATTTGATGCTTGTCAAGGAACTCCTGATTGATTACCCATGGCACATCTGGAATAACTTCATCAACCCACCTGCAGCAGAACAATTCAACTGCTTCATGCACTCTCTAATACCACAGTGAAAGTAATTTAAGTGAATTAAAATGCAAGGTCAAATATACTGTAATCAAGAATTTAAAGCAATTTAAGGGATCCTAGCAGATGGATTGGTTCACAAACGTTCTTAGGAATATTTAATATTTAAATCACGAGTTAGATTTTAGGAGGTAAGAAAAGCAAAGAAAACTGTGGAGCTTTTTAATGATGAATCAAACTGTTGTTGTAACTTGTAGTAAACTGTAAATTATATTGGAAGTAACACTCATCCTCCAAAATATAACTACATGATAAAATACCACAGGTTCACAGCCATACACAAATAAAATGTGCGTGGAAAAAACATATAATTTGGTCAGACTGACTCAGAATAAACTTAGCATCTGAAATCAGCTATAAGATGCAACTAACTCAAAATAACCTCTGCAACAGGATATGAAAACATTAACATACATTTCTATGGCCACAAAGACACCAAAGAACTTTGGCATTGCAAATTGGCACAATTGTACTCAATTAGCCAGCTATCTGAGTCCACAAACACTAGCTTTAATAGTGGAAACAAAAAATGACATCCATTTATTGTCTATACTCTAAAACCAAAACTATATAATCTCAGTTGCATACTTTCACAGTTCCAATATCGCCATTTATTGGACAACTCTGGTGAATATAGAACAGAAGTATCAAAGTCAGAATTCACACAATTAGTTTTCCACCAAGAGATATGCTAGCATCACACTTTTTAACACACCCTCTCAAAAACACTCTTTATTATTGGCTAAAATTTTATTGGAAATCACAAAAATCACATAGGTCCTACTTCTAATTCAATGATTCTCACTCAGACTTTTGTAGCTTCCAATAAATTTCAATAAAAAAGTGAGTGTGTGTTAGCACTCCTCTCCCACCAGAGTTTAGTGAAAGAAAGGGCAAGTAAAATTGAAACACAGGTATTCAATCAAAGCCCAACCTACTATATTTCTTTGGTAAGATAGAAGCTTTGTTAGGAAGCGTACAGTAAAAGTTGAAATATAATTAATACTGAGTCAAAATTTAAAGACCAAAATGAAAATGAGAAAAGAATAGGGAAAAAAAAATAAAACAAACAAACTTGCAGTGGCGAAGAGACTCATAGCGTTCCTTCTCAGTCATAACAGTTTTGCCCTTATACTTGTGAGTGATCTCATCATTGCAGCATCCAACAAGAAGATAAGTGTTTGGAAACCTTCAATTAAGAAAAAGCCAAAGGTTTGAAACAGCATGAGGAAGTCAAGTTTAGCCCATGAATATGTACCAACCCAAAAATAACAAAACATGGGGTTGAACTCAAAATCATAAAAATGTGTACTTCTTGAAAAGAAAATTGGAGAATTGGGAAATGGTAGAGGGAAAAAAAACAAAATTCACCTAAAGCGAAAGGGGAAAAAAGTGGTTTTGAAATTACAGTTTTTTGGCTTGCTCAAGAGAACGGGCATGGCCGAAGTGAAAGAGATCATAAATCCCATCAGCATAAACTCGAACAGGGGTTTCCTTGCACCCGTTTTCGTTAACTTCACACTCTTCTTGTTCTTCCATCATTCTCTTTCTCTCTGCGGGCAAAGGGATGAAGAGAGTGCTTTGCGTTGCAGAGTCAGAAGCCTTCAACTGTAACTGCAATGACACACCGTACAACTCACTTATATTCGGTATTTTTTAATTCAATGTCACAGACAAAGATAATTGAAGTAAAACTGATGGATAAAATGACAGTTGAAAATTCGTGCTAATTTTTTTTAGTTTTCCTTTTTTTTAAAATTATTTTGATATCTTGAATTTTTTAAAAGGTCGATTTAGTTCTGTGTATATTTTCAAGGGTTAAAATCACAATTTACTTTAATTTTTAGTTTGAATTTCTCTCACTTTGTTTTTTAATTTCCATTTGACGCATATTTTTCACTCACCGACGGACCTCGCATCAATATTTGCCATGTCATGCTCTTAAGGTCCCATAAATTGCGGTGAGGAATAAACTTTAAAAAAGGTACTGTTTAGAAGAAGAAGAAGAAGCAGAAGAAGAAGCAGAAGCAGAAGCATGCGATATCAACACGGAATGGGATTCGATTCTAAGTCTAAAAATAGGTTTTTATTTTATCATAATCATTTATAATTATGATATGAAATACTTCAATCGTTTACAATCATTATCGGTTTTAGAAGTTATACAATAGTTAAAAATGAAGATTTAAGGTAAATAAATAAATAATATCTTTAAATTTTCATGTAATAGACAATTTTTTATTTAATCACAGGTAATTTTTTATTAAAAATAATAATGTTTAAGAAAAATAAAATTATGATAGACCGTAAAAAAAAATTCTGACTATTTAATACTTGTCTTTATTGAAATTTGAATTTAAAACTACAAATTTAGTTGAAAAACCCATAAAAAAAATAAATTTAAATAATTAAAGTGATATGAAATCTTTCAAAAGTGTGACTGAAATTTAGTATGTCAGATAAATTCAATTTTATTAGATCTCAATAATATTAACAGACTGTGACGTGTCTAGTTATTTTATTTGATTATAAAATGATAAACAGAGTTTAATAGAGCTAAAAGTTGAGTTCACAATAGATATAATTATATAATTTTTTTATATATTCTAATAAAAGTTAATATACAACCTTTTTGTATTTAAATTTAATAGACTGTCTATTTAAAATTAAATACACTAACCTTCCTTAAAATTAATATTATTTATTCCTTTACCTCTTTTATTGAAAAATTGTACCAATCACTTTTGAACTTTTTCTGGTTTTATTAACGTGTAAAATTTATATATGAAATATATACTTTTTGATTTACACAATATCAAGTTATTATTTTGGTGTTGACTATTTTGGGGCTTAAGCACAGTTAAAGCTCTTTACCCCTCTTTGCATGTGTGTTTAGTGAAAATCGAAACTTTTTAAGTATTCTCACAACCTCAACCTTCATTATATAAAATAACATAAGCTTGTTTCTAGGGCCAAGCCGACACTAAAACTGTAAGACGGAAAACTCATAGCATAGATCAAATTTAAAATTAAAGAAATGCTTTTGTCTACAGATCACACATAGAGAAAATCATAATACGTATTGTTCTAAAGAAAAGCTTGTGGACTTAACATTACAAGTTCTAGGATCAACTACAGTAAAAGAGTAGTAACATAATTTGTAGCGAGTGAAAATAGTGCCTTCCTCGCTAAAGTAACAGCCCAGTCATGCATTTATGTTTGAGTTTGCCGATATTTCCTGGCAGAAGCAATATAATAAAAATGATTAGTCCAAAATACGCAAAGCTACATTCAACTTCTCTCACAAGTATGAATTACATTTTCTGTTTTTACTTTTATTTACAAACTTATCACCTTATTTTCATTCTGTTTCATGTTTTCAAAGATTTCTACCAGAAATACTGAAAACAATTTTTATTTTCTTTTTTCACTGTTTTCTATAAAAATCTTTAACAGTTCTGTAATTAAAAGTAAAAACAGGAAATGAAAATAGAAAATAATTTCTAACCCAAACAGCTCCATAATTGTTAAGAAAAGTAGCTACCCCGAATTATTTTATTACCTTTGTGCAAATATATATGTAATGCACATCAGGATTCGGTCCCAGGGCTTCCTCCACAGAGCTTCCATCATCATTAAGTGGAACAGGTCTTGTCAGCTCCCAAACTGGATTATCAGAATTTTCTTCCGAAGCAAGTTTCTCTGCATTTACCGTTGCAGCGGTTATTGACAAGGGACTTGTTAAACTCCATTTTTGAATTCACAAGACTAAAAATTGCATATATAGGCCCATTTTGGGTAACTTTTAAAGTTCTTATAAGAAAAAAATCAATATTAAATATGAATAAAATTTTTCTTATAAGTTATAAACAACTTATCTCTTCAAAATTTTAGAAAAGTTAAATAACAAATCTTTTCAAAAACTAGAGAAATATAAGTTGTTTCCAACTTATAAGAAAAATTTTATACAGTTTTTAAATTGATTTGTTTGTCCTATAAAGACTTCTCTAGAAGTTTATTTAAACTGAGGCATAGTTGATCAAAGTATACCAAATAAGCAACTTATTAAGGAGCACTTAAATAAGATGCTTTGGGAAAGGGAGGGGGAGCTAAAAACAATGTTACATATCAAAAGCCAAATGGTGATTCTTCGTGCATTTAACCAGTGAGGCAGTACCCACAAATTTAGCACTCCCCAAACCTCACAACAATACTGCATTTTACTTAACAAGTATATCTCATGGTTAACTCAAGTTTATTCCAACCTATATGTTATTTTGAACTTCTGAATTATAACAGTAAATAATAGAACTGGAAATCAGCCAAAACTAGAAGCCCGTTTACACGCATCTGAGAGATATATAGCAGAAGTGGTTTAATATGTTCATAAAACTTGGAATACAAAATAATATTAAGATTTAAACCAACCTATCACATGAAGTTTTATTGTCCACGAGCATGAATCCCTTAGCAAGCGTAGGCGATGTACTGGAGCTCCATATGTCACCTGCAGTTTTTACAATTAGTCAAGGCTGATCAGGTGAAATACAAAGACACATTTCATCTGTTGGAGAGTAGAAATGAATGCAGATCAATACAAAATAAAAGAGGTGCAATTACCAGAACATAAACTCCTTTATCCTTGAGGACCCTATAGTGTGTCATCAACTGCTTCAATAATGGTGAACAGATCAAGAATAAAAAAAACCCAAAATAAAACACAAGTCGTAAAGAACTATAGACTTTAGTTCATGGTTTTATTCTACCTCCAAATTTCCCCAAGCATTTTTGTAGCATTTTGCCTTGAATTATTTCCACACTAAAACAAACAATACACAATGAGCAAACTACAAGTCTTGTTAAACATACTAGCATTTGAATGAGCATTATCACTCACCAAGATAGAGTCAAGAGTTCCTGAAGAACAAAATCAAACAATATCAGCATCATTCATTGTCCAATAGGTACTAATTATATTAAACCCTAAAAAAAAAAGGTACATACGAATGGTAAGCACACCTTTGTCAATAACAGCACCAAAAGACTCTGATTGAAAACCACTCATGTCCCTAACATCCATTTCCATATCTACCAAATTTAAGGATAGTTCATCCTCAACAAAGTCATTAGCAAGTCTTTGTAAAAATTTATACAGTTCACTGTTCTAATGGTTCCACAAGATGCAAAATAGTACACTTACGCATACAGAATCCCATCACAAAGGTGGCATTTGTAACCTTAAAAGAAAAATCATACCATAACACAAATCCAAATCCATCATAAAGTAGAAAGAAAAGGATACATTTCAATTGGGGCTTATCTCGGTATTTTCTTTTCATAGCTTCAATCACCACGGAAGATATATCAATGTTGAGAACATCAGTGTAACCACCGTCATCAACCATGTTCTCGCTGAAGGCTGCAAACAACACAAAAATCATATTCTTACACTCACAAAAGGCCATGATAAAACAGTTCGGATATTCAAATTACCAAAAAGTAACACCATACACGATATGTATTATGTTATTTTAGAAAATGCTTAACAGCCCTTTAGGCTATAATTAACAAAACTCTATCATTTTTATCTTTCACTTGAATTCTTTTTTTACATACACGCATCTCTAATATAATAAACGGGTAGCCACTCAATAGTAAACAAAGGATTTTTGATGATGGTAATCAAAACAAGAAAAGAAAAAAGTGATTTGATTGAATCAAAAGAAAAGGGGTTTGAGTTAGAATGAGATCTAAACATGCCTGAGTTGCCAGAACCAACAACGAGGATGGGGTGGTTGGAAGGGACATAGAGTTGGATGATGGGTGCCAAAGTGAGATACTTTTGGTACCAATCAAAGGGAGAAGGTTCGTTGGAATAGCGATTGTCCCAATACCATGCTTCTCCGTAGGCTTGGCTACCCGTCGTCATCACGATCTATCTATGCACAAAGCTGATCTTCCACTCACTACTCTCTTTCTTCCAAATCTTAAAATGGAAAGGAAACCTTAAACAATTACCAACAACATCGTTTCATAATTCATCTCATCACACAAACAAATAACATCCACTTGCATGACGTGGCATCCCACATTATGGTAATTTGTCAGTCACCCTTATTGTATGCTCTTTATTTTCACTTGCCTTTTTCAGCTTTCTTTCGTCATTTTATTTTTTCTTCTATTAACTTTTTATTAGTTTAAAATAAATATTAAAAGAATGCAGATTAAGTTACTTTAGAAATTACTTTAATAAATTTATTTTTTTAATATTTTTTTATGAATATTAAAATTTTAAAAATTAAATAGATTAAATTCATAAAAATTATACTAATAAAAAAATTAATTAATAAATTTTTTATTAAAACTCATGTTTAGTATAATTTTTAAAATATGAATAAAGGTTAATAAAATTATATATTTATAAAATTTAATTTATCTAAAATTTAATATTTAAATTAATTCATAAAAATAAAAAAGTGATAAATGTTCTATCTTTCTATAGATAATAATTTTTTGTTTATTTTATAATATGGTAAGATAAATTTTGTTTGGTAAAAATTCTTTTTATATATAAGATTTAAATCATCATATCTTATTTAGATGTTGTTTAGTATAACAAAATATTTAAGCATTTTTGAGAAAACAATATAGGAATAAAAATATTTCTTAGTTATAAAATAATTTTAATTTTTAAATATACTGAATGGATTTTTTTAATAATAATTTACTGTAAAAATATTAAAATATATTATTACTTTTTTTAATTGTATGTCTTTAGAAAATATTAGTATTTACACGTATTTTACACATGTGTCACTATATATATGCATCATTTCAATATAAGTAATCTCTCCCAAACTTTGGCATTCCCATTAACGTGATAAGGACGCTCCTGAGGTAAAGAAATGCAAAGTAAAGGGATGTTCAAGAAACATTGCTTTCTCTTTAAAGAAAAAAAAAAGCATTAGTCTATAAGAATTACTTTCACATAGCACATATACATAATTGTTATTATCAACTAGTTATTTTTGTTCACATTTGGTTCATTTATCACCATGTTTTAATTTTTATTGGTCAATAGATTTAGCTTAAGCTCGTGGTGAAAGAGATTTTTTTATTATTTAATACAATTATGGTGTTATAAAAAGTTAATATTAGTAGTAGTTATTTATACAGAAATTTAAAAATTGAATGAAATAATTAAATTTAAGAACAATAACAATGTGTTGTGATGAGATTTTCTTATTCCAGCTTAAAATCTGTCTCAATCTCGTCGATAATGACGAAGTTATTGCCAATAACGAAAGAGCAAGTGGTGTTTGTTTGAACATTTGATGTGTTTCGTATTGCATGCCAGCAATCAACTCCATCTGTCTCAATAACATGTCACCACACAAATTGGATTTGCAGCAATAATTAATTTCTCATACCTTAATAAATGTTTTATATACCAAAATTTAAAACACTAACAACTACAACAAATACCAAAAGAAAACACTGCAACAAACAAAGGCAACTTGTGATTTGGCTCACGTCCAAATTAGTTCTTGTATCTAAACAAAAACATACGTTTCACTATATAATTGCGTTTTAGTTTTTCAAGTTGTAATACCATTAATAAAAGTTATTTTTTTTAATTACATTTTTATTAGTGTTATAACAGTAAAAATCAAAATTAATAAATTTATATAAAAATTAAAACGTAAACTTTTTAAATGCATAAACTAATTTATAAATAAAATCAACTATAAGTGTATTAAAATTTATGATTTCCTATAAATCTCAACAAAATTTTACTAAATTTTAATTCTTATTGTCTCCTTTTAGACACGTTAAAAAAACAATTATTATGAAAAAAAAAACATTTTTTATTTTTCTTAAAAATGAAACAGCGTGATTGCATAATGTATATTATGAATAAGATAGAAAGCGTTGAAAAATACAGCAAGAATGTGAAGACATAATCATTCACGTATTAACATCACTTCCTAGGTGAATATGATGCCCAGAAAAGTTGAGAATAAAAGAGGTTCACACCATTTTTCCAAATAACTTCTCATACAAAATTCTTACCTTGTAATTTTTAGATAGTTCTCTTTTTCAGAAATGCTTATTTTCATTTCCATAACAACCATTCCAATAGAAATAGAAAAACAAGGGAAAAAACCACTTGCTTAGTTAGAAATTGTGAAGCATAAGACTATTGACAAACTAATGTACCATATACCAAGGCGTTTTTGCAACTTAAGGAACAGAAGAGATTTCTACGGTGCCTATTTGGGGTATGTATGGCTTATGTTTCATAGAAGCGAAGTTCTGTCATAAACTCTTGGCGCTTGGGGCAATACCAAGCAACTGCTTTAGCTGAACCAAGTACTTTTAATGCATATTCCAATGCAAATACAGGTTCCTGTGCATATATAGGCCAATCAGGGTTCTTCAGATCAATTATAAAACCTGAATCAACTCTAAAACTGACAGGACCAACAATCTGCAAGATATACATAAAATGTCTTGGTTAACATTACTAGCATTAAGAACCAAATGCTAGAGGAATTGGCAGTGTAAGTTTAGAATCATGACATCAGAAAAGCACGTATTTATAAGGCGGAGGGATAGAGGCAAGACAGCAAAACTTGGATTAAGAATTTTGATTTTTTTTTAATAGCCATAACGTACATACTTTAATTTATGAAAAGCAATAGGAAACCATATAAGTAAGAAAAACCCTCTTCAGCAAACGTATTTACAAAGGAAAAATTGTCTTTTCAAGATGAAGATTAATAATCAGCAAAAGTCAAAAACTAAGAAATCAAGTAAGTTTGTGAACTAATTGGAAGAACCTGCTGCTGAAGGGATAAGGTAGCATTGGGGCAAATTGCCTGAAGAGCTTCCATGCTTGGCTTTTGAGAATTGAGAAGATCTTGTGTTAGACTTGTTGCACCTGAAAGAAATTTGAAACCAGAAGGAAAATCCAGCCGGGCCTGAAATCGTGTAAGATCTAGAAAAAGCTTTTGGAAGTTTCCAAGTTGGGCTGTAAATGAAGCGGATGCAAATACATCTGCTAGAAAGGAAGACTTCATTCCCGAAGCCTGGAGAAAAAATCCTTGTCTACCATCTACTTGTGCTCTTGCCGAATTATCCCCAAAGGCGGTGGTTGCAGCAGCACCTTATGGTTAAAGAATTCAAGGAAATAATAAGCATAATCTAAAAGCCTCCATAACCATAACTTCAAGTAACATGAAAATTCTCAGGGCCAAAGATACTCATTATCAGTGCCACTGTGTTTGATTAGTTATCAGGTATTACTCTAGTCTAATGCACCATTTGCTACCAAGGCTATTATTATACCCTCATTGTACCCACTGCCTCAAATCATACCCAAAGACAGCCAATCCTTTCCATCTAATGATAGACAAAAACAAGCATTTGAAATGTTACAAAAATATCTGACAGTTTCCTCACTTCTTCACTAAGCAAATGACTAGTTATCTATAGTGTTCATGGCCAAATATCCTTTTCTGTTTGGACTCAATTATTTTGTAAAAAATGTTACAAACAAGGAGAAAAATTACCAACAATCCCTGAGGCAGATACATTAGGATTTGAAAGAAACATGTCATATGGTTGTGCAGATTTCATCTTAGGAGCATCACTTCTCCAAAGTTCAATTTTCTTCTTGTAAGAAAAGGCACTTTTGAAGGCCAAGCCTGGAAGCAGAGTAAGTGGTACTCTATCGCTTTGATTTTGAAAATTTCCAAACAGCTCAGGTGACCCCGAAGTGTAGCGAGCAGACAAATGATAAGCAGTGGAAGAATCACTTGTAGTCACAGAAGCAAGATCAATTGCCATTGAAAATGGTACGTCCCAGTAATTACCAGTATTATCGGCAAAAAGACCAGGATAAACAGCCTCCACTGTTAGATCATGATTTGGAAACTACAACCACACAATAATAAAATTAGTGTATAAGTACAAAAAAAAAAGAAGAAAAACAAAATCAAGTTCAACTCATGCCAAAAAGTGGCCACAAGACAAAATAAAAGGTGGGTGCCTAATGTAGAATTCATGATCGAAAATTGCAAAAGTTGCCTTTGGGATGCAATTCACAATAAGTCACATTCTTGCCGATTTCAACAAAACATGAAAAGTAAATAAGAATAAAGATGGAATGGCTCATTTAACAGGTGGACTCCTCATCCAACAACGTTGCCATAGAATTCTAGAACATACTTGCAGTAAATATTAAAAATCACCAAGAATAAAAGCATTGCAAGACACATACAAATGCTCACCTTATGCTGGAGGACTGCTTTCCCACGAAGCTTATCGGCATTGTCACCATATGCATCTAAGCCAAAAAGAAAAGTTTCATCGGGCGTACGTTGGATCTCCGAACAGAAGCTCAGGGCATACAAGGATTTCTGCCGTAGGTGTCTCCCAATGGTTTTAAACCAAGAAGAAAGCCGCTCCGGCTTCTCCTCACTGCTCTTAACAGAGGAAACAAATCTCTGCAAATTGAACTGACCCAGCAAAGACACATACCTGCAAGTCTTTCAGACCTGAATATCAGCCAATATAAACACAACAAGAATTAACAGACACGGTTCAATTATGACAAACAAAGAAACAACACATAATTAACATCACTAATGCATACAATCATTTTCATAATTCATAATTATACTAATGCAAACAAGCGTTGACTAACTAAGTTAATCATTCTCACAATCCACCCTAAATGAACTAACTCATAACAATCCATCCACCCACCCACATTGTAATAGGTAACAAATTGCAGAATAGCAACCTAACCATATACAATTCAGTTGTACAAATATCAATTGTAAAAAAGAAAAAAGCCCTTTTCCCCCTTTTGAACATAAGTGATTAAAAAACATGAAAACAATGATCCCAGAAATGAAAAAAAGGGAAATGCAAATAAAAATTGAAACTTTGGGAAAGGGAGTGAAGGAACTACCAGTTTTGAGAAAAGGGTAGGGAGAGAACATGATGGAGAGTGAGGCCATGAGGTTGGGAAAAGGAGGGTATGAGAGGGGCGTGCATGAAACGGTGCATGAAATGGAGTTGTTTGTGTCTTGAAAGCCTTGTGCCTCGTGACAGAGACAAAGGAAGAGGGTCTTGAGGAACGGGACATGCTAACCCATCAAGAGTTTTTGGAGTTGAAACGTCCAAATCCCAAAACCCTCCTCCATCCATTATCCATCTTAGTTTCCTCATCTCTTCACAATCCAATTCCAATTCACTGTTTCTTCTTCTTTTTCTTCTTCACTCACTCGTCCACTGCCTTCAATCGCACTCAGTCACTCATAGTCAGCTACCAAATAAGCTCAATCAAAATAGTAGGGGAATTGGTTAGCCTCACTTTCCATTAACTTTTTAATAAATAATTTATAACAGGTAGAAAAATATAAATTAATTTTTTTAGAAATTCTTTTATTTAATTTTTCAAAGTTTTAAAATATATAAATTAATTTTAATTTTTAAAGAATTTTCATTTTTTTAAAAGGTAGGCCTTAGTGAATATCATAAGGAAATGAGAAAAAGAAACAGATTAAGAACGTAGCATTTAGCATGTTTGTCTCTAAATAAATCTGTCTTTAATATAGTTTATTTTAAAATTAATTATCCATTTTATTGTTTCCTTAATTCCTTAGAGAAATAAAAAAATAATTATTTTCTGAAATAAATATCTTCAAACATGCAATAAAATATTAGACAACTATATTCTAAGCTCAAGTTAATATATATATATATATATATATATATATATATATATATATATAATTTAACGTTGACAAATCCCCATTTAACATGTAAATTTATTTATTTTATAGAATAAGTTAAAAAAATAAATATATCGAAAAGTCCATCTTTGTTGTTCATTTTTTGTAAAACTATTGACAGCATGTGAAGTTTTCAGCAAAGCTATTGTTTGCCATAAACTACCATTTTATAACAGGGGATATCAATTTTTTTTTGTATTTTGTCAATTACCCGATTTTACAAATTACATTTAGTGATGAATTGGAAAGTTTTTCACCCGCAGAATCCTTCTTTAAAGGTTAATAACTGTTATGGACTATAAAAATAGCTGGTATTTTAAATTTTTAATAGAATTTCAGTAAATATTTGTTTTTTGAGTGTTCTAATTTTCCCCTCTTAAATTTGACTTTAAATAGATTTACTGACACATTTTCATCAGAATATGGACACCTTATCAGCAGGAATTGGTTCTTTTCGAAATAGCTTTTAATTGATATTCCAAAATTAAATATGAGGTGCAAGAATCTTAACAAGTTTTTTTTCCTTCCTCGTTAAGATTTTTTTTTAATAACGGTGAGATTAAAGTTTTGAAATTAACTTAAAAGCACTTACATCAAGTATTAAAATTAAATCTTACATGAGATAGAAAATTATAGTTTCTAACAAGACTCATATAATAATGCTTGAAAGCATAATAATTAAAATTATAACATGCTTAACTCAAATATACAGAATAAAAATATAAAAGACTTTTTTTTTAATTGTTACTGGAATAAAGCCTGGTACAATTAGACAAAATATATTCCCCTTTTTGCTTTTTCTTTCTTTGGTATCTCTTCTTTTTCATTTTATGTTAGAGTAACTAGTTCTATCAATATTATAATCATGCTTCAGTAGTAACCCAAAAAAGGCCGTTAAAAACACTTGGATCAGTCATTACCATTAAAAGTAGAAGATGATGATGTTGATTTACTTTAAGTAAGAGAATAAAAGGTTAATGATGTTAAAAGGATAACCGTAGATAAATAAAGATTTAAAGAAATAAGAAAAATTAAGAATCATGTTTGATATAAGCTTAATAGGTTGAATAGAACAACACCATTCCGGATTATTACGCCAATTTTTCGGGCAATAGAGGGCTTTTACAAGCTTTGTTTTTGGGCCTGTCCCATGCTTTGCTTTCTATTCAAGTCTGACTTTTTCTTTTTACACCCCTCTGATGAACTTTCAGAATTCAATTTCCGAAAGTAATTAATACTTTCCGAAATCTTATTTTTGGAAGATACCGAAAAAAATGTGAGGTTGTTAGAAGTAACTAAAGTAAAAGCCTTCATTCTATAGTACAAGTGTTTGATATAGTTCACATGTTTGCCAATAATTTGCTAGTTTAAACTATATAAATAAATCTCCATCCACGTAATCTTACTTGAAGAAAACATAAAGGTGTCGGGACCATTAAACCAAGGCTAAATAATTCAATATTTCTTAACATGATTAGTTTTCAAATTTTAATTAACAAACGGAAAATTATAGCATTAGCAAATGGCAAGTTTCTTTTGATATTGATGGTTAGCTCTCAAATAAAAGAGTGCGATTAAATCAATATATCATAGTGTTGTGCCTCATAGTCATAACGTTCTTTGTTCTTTTTCTCTTGCTTTGGTTTAATTTAGCAAGCAAGGCTTAATTAATGAAACACAAGGTTTACGCAAGTGTCATTAATTGCTGCATCATTTGGAATGAAGGCAACTTGAAACATCAAAATATCAAATTTAGGGTGATTGATATCTACTGTATTAACAGTGTTTGATGCATTATATCTATGAGAATGTGTTTGAAAATGGATTCAAGTGAGATATAAAGTCAGGACACTCCATTTGCTAAAACCATCTCATTTCAAGTTAATTATAAAAGACAGACAATCAACTTGAATTTAATAGCAAATGACAGGAGAATTCACTTGGCCAAATACTTCTAACCATAAAGTCCTTAGATTAGTATTATTCATTTGCTTACTGGGACTATATAGCAATTTTATAATTTTAGGAGAATACATTGCTAAAAAAATTGATTTTTAATTGAACTAAATAACATCGTTTAATTCATATAATCAAGCCTCATTTAATGAAACATAATGTTGTTGTTAGGAAAAGACTACAACAAAATATGAAAAAGTTTGTTTAGTTTGCAACTGCATGTTAGAATCCATTCATGTTTTCAGAAGTTATAAACAATAAGGCCAATTAAACTGCATAATTTACACTTGGATAAAGGAAATACAAGTAGTACAATTCAGCCAAAAAAACTGATCTGGGGACTTGGATAAATGTTTCATAGGTGATTAGAATTTCACCCAGTGCCATGGAGGATTAACTTAACGATCCTACAAAAGCTGAAAACTATAAAATCCATTCTTCTCATTCTTTTGCTAAACAATAGTCATATGGCTAATACCTGCATGTTTAGACACATTTGAGAATCAATAACGTTAGCTTTGACATCTCTGCAAGAAAATCTTAACAGGAACAAACTGCTGATTACACATCTATTTGCTTTCTTGTGATCTACAAGTTGCAATTATATCATTTTGCCCATAATTTCCTCCATGGTAATACTAGATCCGAAGTCTAACATTTAGAAGTTGTTGCCCACATAAATGGATCAAATACAACTAATCACTGTGTTATACTTACACCCTTTTAACAGTCAACACTAAAATGTCAATCGTCACTGTCACTGAAAGAAAATATTGAACCATTCATTTTTTCATCCTTTAGCAGTTTTTTATCTTTAAATTTACAGAAAGATAGTGTGCGGCCATGCTTAGTAGCCCCAAGACTCTGGGAAGCTACGAGTATACGTTTCCCAACTTTGGATCCTCTACTTGTTCCCCTTAATTTTTTGGAAACCAAGCCAGCATGCAATGGTTCATGCAAGACGTGTGGAGGTGTTTTGGGAGTGAACTGCGGCAAGAAATCACTTTGTCTCTTTGAGCAACTAAGTTTTCTGGTGTTTGAATGAACTTCAATCTCACTACGAACAGCTCTAGATGTAACATCTGAGTTTGAAGAGCTGCTACAATTGTCAATCCCATTAAAACCTGAAAAATATTTATTGATTATACCTGTGACTGATATCACTTGTGTTGATATCCTAGTGAGACTGCCTTGTATTGAGTTAGTACGTAACTCAACCAGATTTTCAACCTTATTATCTCGCATCACATATTGACTGTTATTGGTTATACCAGTAGGTTTGTCTCCAAATCTGAAGGAGTATCTTTCTGGCATTCCAGTGGCTGCATTCTGTGCGTAATTTTCATGAGAATTTTCCTTTTTCTTCTGCTTCTTTGAAACATGATTAGAAGTTTTGTGCTCTTCCACTAAATATGCACAGGGTTGGAACCTTTCTATTCTCTTTTCCTCACTATTGTGTCTTGCCTTATCCTCAGTATAGTCCTTATGTTTTGAAAGAACAGCTGCATCACAGGGTGAACATGGAATGCACAAACATTTTAAATGCTCCACTTCCACATGAAGAAACCATGATCCTCTCATTGCAGGGAAAGCATACTTCATAGGTAGAGAATCAGGCAGGTAGTAGAAGCATGATCTTCGCTTCACCTAGGACAATATGCAGTAACTTGTTGAGCACAAACTAACTGTCACAGAGATTCATAAAAGGATACAAAGATAATAAAAAGAAAACTATGTACCATTAATCCATTAACTTGGATCTCTCCTATATCTGGTAAACATCTGAAGTGAACTTTCTCAAACTCTCCTGCAGAACAATCATTACACCAATTATTTTTCATTGCAACAGTTTGAACAGAAATTTCATGACTGTCCTGCCCTATTCTTTCCATTTTTAAAGTTTGTGGATAATGACAAAGGTCAATAGTCAACAGTGTTCCGGACCATTAATTATATGGACAAACTAACCTGAATTGGAGGCAAAGCATTTAACAGAGACTCAAACTCAAAGGACACACTAGATTTTGAATATGCCATGTGAAACCCCACCATTAAGACAAAAGGGCAGATGATACATAAGAAACTACCCAAAATTGAAAGGTGAAGCCCTTTGAAGTTCATTATCTCCCTTATCAAGTGCTATAAAACATAGGAAGAATAACGACTAAACTATAACCACCCTACATCCAAGGCACAGGTTTGGGAAGCAGAAGTTGTGAATATGTCAAGCAAGTGATATCATATCAAACAAAGAGTAAGATTTGAACCAACAAAGACTTTGACAATCAAAGACTTTGAGTGCTAGCAAGTGCAAAATAATGGACTTCACGAATGAGTTCCCATCAAAGGAAAAAAGAACCAGGTTTGGTTCTAGTCAAACTGTTTGTTAACAGCAAGAAAGAGAAACCTACTTCATTTTTGGCTTTTGCAGAAAAACTAATTGCCCTGGAAAGATTTATGTATAATTATGTTAGATGCCAATTACGGATGTCTTATCTGATTAAGAAAATAGAAATCTAGAGAAGCAAAACTATCAGCACAAGGCTGCTGCATTTAGTAGTCAATCAATTTGGAAATACGCAAGACAATTACACTGTTCTCTTTGTGGGGGTCAAATGCTTTTTAGCCTAACTAAACTTCAGTTGTGCAAAAAGATAGTAATTGTAATACCTATCTCTTGACTCTTGAGATGAAACAGTTTGTGAAATATCATAAATTGATCAAAACATAACTACGGTTTCACTGAAAAGTGAAGATAGAGCTATACGTGCTAACACAGCAACCCGTTCCACCATTGCAAAATGAAAACATTGTATTGAAGAACTAATCTCCAAAATTACAGGTAATATACAAATCCAGACTCATTAATCCAAATGCTAGGCTTTCTCTACTATAATGTTATATGAATTATATTAAACAGCATGACAAGGTTTATCTATCTGCTAGGCCATGTTTGGCTAAAAGAATAACTGCATTTCATTATAACAGACCGCACAATAGATACCCAAAATAAATGATTGAATGGGTGTAAGTAAAAGAGTAAGAATTGAACCAAAAAATCTATCTAAGCCTGTGCAAAAGACCCCCATTTCCAGCATAAACATGTAAAAGAAAAAAGCATAACTCAAAAGACAAACCCCTCCACAACAATTCATATCAAACAAAGTGAAACATTATTCTAGAACTAACATGCCACACAGAAGAGAGGGAAAAACAACCCACAACATATTGAGGGAGAAGTTACAAGTAAAACAACACAATACAATCAGCAAAACCTTCAAATGGGTAAGTTAGTTAAACCAAGAATCTAAAATCTGAAGGAAAAAAAGGACTTTCTTTTTGTTTTTGCTTACTTTTGAGTGCTGCAGCTGTAATGTCAAGGGGGGCATTGAAAGCAATGTGAGTGCCTAAGTTTGTGTTGGCAAAGACTGCAACTTCATCGTCATCAGCCATTCGGAGTTCCTAAGAAAACGCATCCCCAATTCGACGTATCAATGTGTTTGTGGAAGTTCAAATAGTAGGCAAAAACATAAACAAAAGGGATGAAACTAAAGCTGGAAACTTGGGTGGGCCACAACTTTTGTTTCTTTTTCATTATCTGGCCGAGGCCCACCATTCCTCTTCGTTTTTGTCCAAAAATCATCTCTTGAAACAAAGAGAAAAGTTGAAGAAAAAATCCAAAGAGAAAAATATTTAATTCCCTAAAACTATCAAGAGGGAAAATTATATATTAAAATGTTGATTTTTTCACCACTTTTTTTAAATTAAATTTCGGATTTAAGTTCTGAAAATTAATTTCTAAAAATAATTAATATATTTTGAAATTTATTTTTGAATGATGCAAAAATAAAATATTAGTGTAGTTAGAAAAAAAGAGAATACCTTAAAAAATCAATAGGATCTTTAATATTTTGGGCTGTTTAGGTTAGTTTATTCGAATTTGGACCAAACATCTCCCTAATTTCATCAAAATCAAACCATTTATGCAAAAATTAAGAAATTTGTGAAGATATTTTTTACAACTAAATCTCAAGTATTTTATAAGAACTTGTTACAAATAAAATTTGAGACAACGCAATAATGATTAATTGCAATAGAAATGAACTGTGTTTCTCAATAAATTTTTCCTATGATGGGGAGGTTTAAACGTTGAAATAGTTATGTTGGAGTGGCTTTATCTAAATTCTCATGACCTGCTTGCACCCGATGAACTAATTTTATAGATATGCGTGTGGAGTACTCATCAAAGATAGTAAAATAAAATTTTAGATAAAAGCAATTTCTCTTTTTATATAAAATTTCTCAGCATTTTCCCACTCATATTATCTTGCTTTACATAGAATTTGATTTCTTAAAACAACTTTTTTAACGCTGAAGTAAAATCTAGTTCAGAGGCTGTCGATCATAAGATGATTAATTGCACGAGTCCAGTTTAAATTGGTTCTTAGCTTATGAAGATTTTTCAATTATAAAATTTTAGTCTTTAAGACATTTTTAAAGAAAGTTAATATATATGGTGCCAATTTTTTCGTCATTTATTAATTTGATTTTGTGGAATATGAATGATTATAATATAATTATTCATTTCTTTCCAAACCATTTACAAGTGAAGAACCACTGCAGAGCTTGGTGTTGTGTCTTGATTAGTTCCTCCCATCCAAAATCCTTACTTCCAGGGAAGGTAGAGTCAATGAAGATCCCATTTGAACAAAGTGCCATTTGTACACAAATTCAACCATTTTTGTGAAGATCCTAATTTCAATTAAGTGACGTTACTATATAATATTTTGCCACCAATACCCAAAGATTGGTCCGCAAGCAAATGTTGAAAAACTTAACAAATGGTGAAAAGTAAAAGTATAATAAATTATAAAAAAAGAAATGAAAACTGAGATGAGAGAAGCAGTGGATTCTAATATCTTTCCTTTTTTTGCAAAAAATAAAAATAAAAAATTATACATAAGATATCATATATACTAGACCATTGATTTTAATTGAATGGTTAAAAATGAATTACAGAATACTAATTATTTAAATTATATTTATGAAAAGATATATTGGTAATTTCATATTTTCATTCCTTCTCCGTGTTTTCTTTCTCTTCCTGTTGTTGGTGTTTGTCATCTTGTTCTTTTCATCTTCCGCATTACGTTGTTGTTTTCATTGATTTTTGTTATTTTTTTCTCATTCAATTTGAGGTCACAAAAGATTAGTAAATTGCAAAACTCTTTATCCTAAATTGAAAGTTGAAAAAGTCAGTTTATACAACTTTGTGATATAACTGGTAAAATAAAGCAAGTTTAAATAGAACAACAACGTCGAGGTGTGACGATTCAACTTAGAAAATTTGGATATATATGGGTCATGTAAATGTACATCGAGTTTATTAAAAATCAGATATTAAAAGTGACATATTGGAAGAAATAAGTTTGAACATTGGTTACTTACAAAGTCAATACAGAAAATGGTGAGCTATATTTAAAAAAGAGTAGATTTAGTAGTAGTTGGTCACAGAGCCGATATAAATAGTGTTGGGTGTTTATTTGAAATTTTTTGAATGTGAAGTGAAATAACGTCGCTAGGTTGGAGAGTGCAAAACAAGCATTGTAGGAAGCAGTTATCTTATCTGCGAAGTTTTCTCAGTTTTTCATTGGTGCATTTCATTTGTTCGGTTAAATAATTAAAGAAGTGTTGTCTTGTCTCTATTGAATGTTTTTCATTATGTTTCGTTTCAAGTAAATGAAGACTTTGGAGAGCCTTTTTGTTGTACGGTCCACCGAAACAGGTAAATTATATTTGGCCAAAGTTGGTGCTACAGAAGCTAATTCCACTTTTTTCAGGTTGGTTCATTTGTTCATTTGTTATTAAAATTTTGTGTTTTAAGCTAAGTTTGTTGTTAAAATAATCATTTTTCCAAGTAGCATTTCATGGAGTAACACTAACATGTTTGGTTTGTTCTAATCTCAATTTACTTCACTTGCAAAATTGATGGTTGATAAAATAAAATTGTCCACAGGAATTGTTAGATTGTGGTGATGTGTATGAGAGATGCTACGTTCCTTTTATTGTCAGTATTCATTTAGCTCCGACAAGTTACTCTAGAGTGAGAATAATGAATTGTCTATCTACTTGTTTTTATATATATTTCTTCTGCAATTCTCTGAGTAATTTTTAATTTCTACATCAGTCGCTCTCAAAAATGACTCATAAGACTAAATATTAATCTACCCTTTTTTCTACATACGTTATCTAATCACACCGATGTAGAAAGTGCCTTTTATAAATATGTCAACACTTTTTACAATGGTTTTGGATCAAAACCAATGTACAATTAACAACATACAACATTATTTCCTACATTGTATCATTTGTCTCATGTTGCTTCATTGTAATCGTTTATCATTACAATAAGAAACAAAAATGACACAGGGGATTATGGTGTCATGCAAAGATACAGACTACTATGAGTCTATCAACATTATTTGTACCATTCCTTTTTCAATTTTCATTTTCTTTGAACGACATTTCATCTTTTTTGACAGTACACAATAAATATGACAAGATGAATAAGGTTGGTGGTTAATTTTCTAGGATGCCATAATCAATGTTAACACTCTCATGCTTGGAAGGAACCTCTACCTCATAAACAAAGAATATGTATTACTCATTCGTCAACGGCTCAGATGTATATATATATAAGCTTCTTATTTTCTTTTTTACCCTTCATGACTAACAACATAATTAAGTTACTTATCGGGTTTTTTACTTTTTTAGTTTCAATCCTAGCTATCTATTTAACACACAATCTAATCAACGCTCTTAATTCTTTTAAAATTTGCTTATACAACAACTCTACTTTTACAATTCTACTACCTTTTCAAAGAAAATAAGGACCTTAAAATCATTCGAGAGAAGCAAAGAGAGAATGACAAAGAATAGGGAGAAGAAGTGGAATAAAGGTGCAAACAGGATGAGAATGACGAAGCAAAGATGCCATGCATTGAAATGTCAAAACATTGATTTTCTTTTTTCATTTTCAAATTTGGACATTTCAAAAATTTATCTTAACACTAAATCAAACACATTTTATTCATCAAATAAATCAAACATGTTTTTAACTCATTTTATTTTTCATGAATTGTAAATACCACCTTCTATAATTTTTCATATCTAAAATACGTGCTTTGGGTGTTAAACTAAGCAATCTGATACCCACCATGTTAAGATGTACATCTGAAATTCTTTACTTGTAAGTTCAATTTAAAGAGTGTGAGAGGAAAAAATAGTTATTTTTAGAGTTTATAAATTTTTTTTAAAAAATGACTTTAGAGAAAAATTTTAAATACTTTTTAAATTTTTTCTTTTACAAACATATAAATAAGAGAAGAGTTTAACCTCTTTTTATTTTTCCTTTTCTATCTTCTAAATTTTTTTTTCTTCTTTTTAAACTTTTAGACAAAAGCTTAAAAAATATAGCAACCTCAACACTTAATGTTGACAATTTTTTTTTTAATCTTATAAAAATAAACTAAAAAATTTATAAAGGATAAATACTTTTTTTAAAAAATTGTTTAGTCTTTTAGTGTGGGGTGAAAGGATTTTGGCTCAAGCGAAACTAAAATAGAATTATACAACTTTAAAATAATTTAACTATCATGTTATTCTTTATTCACTAAATATTATCTTTATATACAAGGTTAGAGAAATATTAATATCAATCTTTAATGTTAATTTTAAGCAATTCAAAGTAAAACAGTTCCATTAAAAAATATATTTTTTATAAAAATATTTAAAAAGTGAAATAACTTTGATAATTTTTTAATAAAATTTATGATATTCATATGCTTAATCAACTCTAAAGATGTTAACAAAATCATAAAAAGTTTAAACATGTTATAAGTTGAATATGTTTAGTCAATCACTGGTAATATTGAGAATATTTCTTTTCTTAGTCAGTGCAATGAATTATCTCCGACTCCATTAGTGATGCAAAGTTTATGATGACATGCAAGATGATTCCATAACCAGCAGTCAATCACTAGCTAAACGTTACTGTAATAGATGGTGACAAGAACTAGGGAGAACATGAATGAAAGTTATCAAAATAAATGTATTTTTAACTTATTTTAAAAAAATTATAGTCAAATTTATTGCACAAATTCTTATATAAATATTATAAATAAAATCTGTTATTTAAAAAAAATGTGATTTTTCTTCAACAGTATTAGTTTTTAAGTACATATAAGAATTAAAGTGTGAAACTTTGTGTCATCTGGTGAGTTTAACTACTATTTTTTTCCTTCTTTTATTAATATTTTGAATACTTTTTGGCTCATTAATTTGTTTATTATTTTAGTTTGTTGATATTTATGTGTGAGGATCGTCTTTATTTATTATGCGTGTGCAGTAAAAGAAAGATTATGAAACCTACACAAATACTAATATCTTTCTCTTTTTTAATGAACACTTTTAATAATAGATAAGAGTTTAGTCTTTTGTTTATTAGTTTGTGAGTCTTTTGTTATCGTATTTTAAAAAAATAGTTGAAGGTAGTAAAAGATGCGAATTGATCAATGTTTGTTCAAGGAACTTAATTGTTGTTAAGTAAGATATTTCCGGGGTTTATATCCTAAAAATGACTGAAAGTTATATTTAGATTAATAGCCCTGATCTTGTAGACTCAATAATTTTTTCAATTCAAACCAGTAAAATAATAAAAGAAATTGTGATAACGAAAAGCTTGGAGACTTGGAGTTGTCATTTAGGAAACGAAAAAAAGGTGTTATTAATAGAGTTGAATTGTTTTGTTTTGTAGCCTAAACTTGTTAACTAGGGAGATCAACAATTAATATATATATCATGCTAGATGTGAGTCTCATTGTGATGATAATTTGCTCCCTTTAATATTTTCTAAAATCGTAATAGAAATACAAACGTTATATTTTGATGAGAAACTCTAAGTTGACTATTCTCAAAGAAATATTATTTAAACATATAGATAATTCATCTCTACATTTCCTAGTTCTATCTATCATTAATTAGTTTCTTAGAGACCTACATTGTGCTGCGTTTTTTTATATAGTAGTATTATTATTTATTATGAGTAAGAATCCGTTGACATCAAATCAAATGATAAAGTTAAATATTTGTATTACTTAACAATTTTTATAAAATAAAAGTTAATTAATTTAACTGTGAAACTATTTTATATTATTTTTTATTATGTATATCAAACATTTGTAATTATATTATTAAAAAATTAATATTTATTTATATCTTAAAAATTTATTACCATTGAAATAAAATAATGTAAAAAAATACTTAATAATTTTATTTTTTTATAAAATTATAATTTACTTAATAAGAATCTTTAAATTAATAATTAAATTAATTAATATTGTACTTTAAAAAATATTATTATGACGTGTAAATATATAATTTTTACATATGTACTAATGGATGCTAATTTTTTTATTATTATGTAATGAAAATTTTTTTAAGCCATTGTGTGCGTGATATTAAATTAACCCTATAAATAGAAAAGATAAGGATTGACTTTGGCTACAGCAGTGTATTGAGGATGCATATGGAGCCAAAAAGAGCCCACCTTTTCACTCCGATCGACCCGGTTCACACTCAAGCCGGTCCCAGTAACCAAGACTCCAATCCATCATCGCATATTTGAACCATCCATCATATTCAACCCAATGAATAATTGATGACAAATAAAAGAAAAAAGAAAAACACACAATGAATAATTGAAACCTTCTGCAAGACTTGTGTGAAGCATACTTAGATAACTTGTCTGACCAGTTTTCTTTATTATTATATGATGCACATATATTCGACACCTACTCTACATGCTCCTTCACGTGCTGAATACTGGCGATGCTTGCCATTCAGATTAAGTTTCACCAAATTAAAAAACTTAAGAATTTCTATTTGTTTATTTTGTTCAGAAATTTTGTACAAAAAAACTATATAACAATATGAGTGCTATGAAAAAAATTTACATGATTAGATGATTAATATGATGAAAAGAGATGAAGGGAGAAAAATGATTAAGTGTTATGAGAATTATTTTGCATATCTAATAATCCATTCTCAAGAATTGGAAAGAATGCCAATAACAATGCAAAACCCGTAATTCATACGAGCTAAGTCGTCACTTTTAGGACGGGTTTTGTGGAAAGATAGGAGTGTGTGAACTAGGCTTGTAAAAGGTTGTATTAATCGTTATTCAAATTCCACCAGTTGATGAAACATTAGGATCGATCATCTGTTATTCCTCCTGAATACCCAATTTTAAAAGTTTGATTATTGGGTGCACAAACAATAAAACCAGAGTTATTATTTAGGTTTGAAACCTCAAGCTTAAAAAAAACTAGGTTTTGATCATAGCGTGATCATAGACTGGTTAAAAAATGAAAACATACATAAATATGAAGGGGAAATAGAGGCTTTGTTCATAGTGTGAGAAATACAACCCGTACACATTACAATAAAAAATATATATACAAACAAGACAAACACTAAGATATTTCTCTGCAGGGACAACAATTTAATCAAGGGAATTCACCATTAAAAAAAGACAGAGAAATAAGGCAAATTAAATCTAAAGGAATTAATGCATATAATCCTTGCGAATTATTTTTATGATAGTATGCTTACAACTATATATGAACCAAGTCCATTTTGTTGTATTACTTTTCTAATAATATGAACAGGATTCAATAATAGAATCCTTTATAATTAAACATTTTCATCACATAAAATATGGCCATAAATAATTCTTAAAAAGTATCATTGGGGAAGGAATTCACAGTTAGATCATGCAAACCAAAGTCATTATCCATAAGCAAGCCATCAGAGACAACCATGGTAGTGGTAGGCCTAATTGAGTTACCCGAAGATGGAAGAAAACCACTGTTTTTCACATAATCAATGGAGTAACCATTGTGGTGTTCTTGCAACAACTGCTGCTGAGGCACTTGTTCCTCTTGCTTCTGCCAAGGAAGATGTGAAGGCACTTGATGAACTTGGTTGTTGTTGTAGCTTTTGGTACTACGAAATGGTAGAATTATTCTACTCGCGCTATGTTGAATCTTTTGTCCACTCCCTTGTTGGAAATTTAAGGTAATAGGTCCCTTATGGACCCCTAGTGTTGACATGGTTGTGCTAGGACAACCTGTGAATTGCTGTACTAATGCTCTAAAATTGGTGGTATTAGCATTGAGGAGTGTGGTTGGAGTTCTTTTGGAAGCTCTAGACCTCCTTCTAATGGGTTTGGATACACTACCTTTTGGTGTCAATTGGCCACTTGTTGGGCTCAATATGTTGTTGCTTTCTGATGGCATGGTGGGTGTGGGACTAGTTGTCATCACAGTTGCATCAGAGAAGCCTTCTCTGTTTGGTGGCAGAGCATCCATTAGAGGTTGTTGATAGAATTGCATCCATTGATCAGTAGTAGCAGTCATGGTCATGGTCATGGTATTGGTATCCCTCATGGGGGTTTTGATTTTGGTGAAGTAGGTGCTAAAAGGTGAGGCTCAGGGATCACTCTTTACCTCTATGACATACTCCTCCATTTTAAAAAAGAATGAAACTTAGCTCTATTATGTATATAGTGCCTTGTCATAGTCAAAGTAAAATGTCCAATTTTTGACTATTCTTTGATAGAGACGGGGGAGAAACTTGATTCCAAAGAATGGCGTGCTTCCAGGAAATAACGTGTTAGGAAGTTTATATTTTTTACATTCAAAATGAGACAATTTTTTCTTTAAACCCCAATTATCTTTTTTATTCACTCTCAAGACTTTGCCCAAAGAGATAATTTTATGAAATTATTTTTATTCATAAAATTCGAACTCAAAATTTTATTTAAGGAGAATCAAAGGTGTAATATTAGAAGTAACTCACATTGATTAAAATAGACATATTTAAATTTAATAAAACTTGTATTTAACTTAATTTTGAGATGTTGAAATAATAATTATAATGGGTGACGACATGAAAACAGGGAGTTGCATCACTTTTGGACTCCTTGTTTGTTATGTTGGAGCATTTGAGGGGGTCTTGGTCAGAAAAATGTGTACTGTAAGGTTGAAAATGATAAGATATGCGTGCTCATAGCCACCCACCCACCCACCATACTAGACATGATTGTATGAGGTACTCGTAGTTATAGTAGAAATTCAATGTGTGAACCCACGTGTTTTTACTAGAAGCAAAGTCCATGTCAAACAGATCTAATAGGAGAAAGAGAATAAGAGTTATGTCTAATAAAGACACTTCGCAGCCTAAGTCTTTTTTGACCATAGCTAAGTGCCTAACTGAATACCACACACTCCCATGTATCCATCTAAACCCCAAACCCAGAGAAAGAGAAACAGAGCATGTTCACATTTCCCATATTTATTTTTATGTGCATCTATTTGAAAATATATTTTAGCAATAAAGATAATAACTTTTAAAAATATTTTTCTCTAAAAAATGGACTAGTGTGTCATTGCCACGTTATTTTTTAACTCTCTAATTTTTGTTAACTTATAATTTTCAATTGATTTTGTATTTTGTTCTATAACTTTGTGGACGCCTCTGATTCAACCATGTCAAAACATTTATTTCATGTTTAGATTTAAATGATCATAAGTCAAAACAAAATTAAGCATGAAATACAAAATGAAAGTCATAATTCTGTTATTTTTCCTAGTAATTTCTTTATATTATGCGGATGTTTTTAAATTACAAAAAAATAAAATAAGGAGAATATAAGATATTGTTATTAATAATTATAAATACTTTATTATCTTAAATAAGAATAATTAAATATAAATATTTTCAAATTTTAAATAGCTATAGAATAAATCATTTAAATCAATTATAAGCTGGGAAAATCATTGTGAAGAAATTTTTATGTCATTTTAAATGAGTTTACTTTCAACAAAATACTTACTACCAATTTCCAGTTTTATATAATCTTTCTAATAATCCTATCGATTAATAGTTGTATTAATTACTTTTTTATTATCATCCCCAAGGTTACAAAGGTATTATCATACTGGAGTCTTGAATTGGCTGAGTTATCAATATCTTAAACAAAAGCAACACAATGGATCCTAACCATAAATTTTATCAAAGACTATAATTTTTAGACATGACCTGACTCTTCCTTTATTTTGCGCACAACTACTAAATATAACAAATAAAATAAAAGGTTATATTGTAACTTAGTTACTTTTACACTCGGTTCTTCTTGTAGCTATATATAATTTGATATATAGAAAAAGAGACATGGGTGATATAAACAGAAAAAATTGATAAATTATATTTTATTTTCTATGATATTACATTCTTTAAAATACGTGTAGTTTTTGTGGGTTACTTAATATTTTTATATATTTTTTTTAAGTAACACCATCTTATATATTATACTTGTCATGCAAATCAATTTAGATTAATTTTGTGTCAGCAATAAAAATAAAGGCAGTGTGAAAAGCATAAAATGTGACATAAAAAAGTAAAAGGAAGATAATTTTGTATAAAAAATTATAAATAAATAAATAAAAATGTTGCATACTCATAAAAAAATTATGTAAAGATTATGAAAGTTACAAACGTAGGCCTATTTTTAAAATTTCAGTACAATTAATTTGAATAGAACTAACTTTAAGCTTATCAATATAATTAAAATATGTATAAAATTAGTCATCGTAAAACAAGTACTTATCTTGTTATACAATATTCTATAACAAATTAAATTAAAAATTACAAATTTATGTCATTTACATACTTCTAACCTTTGGTTAAAAAAATTTTCAAAAATTTACAGATTTAAAAACAATATCTGTAAAATGTTATTACTTTGTAAAAGTTTTAAAAAATTACGATATCATACTCATAAATAATGGGAGTATCAAAGTGAAAAGTTATGATAAAAATCTGAATATGTTGGAGCAAAATGATCATCAAATGTTTAGACAAGTAGCACGAACTTGTTTTAGTTTAACTAATCATTTTAAGTTTAAACGTTATGTATATAACTATATTAAATACTACAAAATTATGTTTATATTAATTTCATTTTATTTCAAGAAAAACATCTCTTATAAATAAATATATATATATATATATATATGTATATATATAAATTCTAAACCCAACAGAAATAATTTAAACTCATGCATTATATTAATTTTTATTTAACTAATAAAAACTGCTATTACCAACGAACTTTGCATGAGTCGTGCTTAAATTATTTTATTATAATAGTTTTTGCCAACTACGGGTCAAATTGGCATCATTCAACCGCGAATTGACTTTCAAATCGTCTTTAATTTTCATTTATAATCCATCAGAAAAGCATTGCCTACACTTCAACCGCATCTATTGCACTCATATTCTCTTCAAAATAGGTAAAATTTAATATACCTGAGATGTTAATTTTATATTAATAAATATAACAGTAGAGTTCACAGATTAATTTAAAAAGATATTAATATTTTTTAATTTTTAAGATAGTAGAAAAATTACTGTCATTAATCTAAAGAGAATATAAAATATCCTTTCAAATTTATAAATAATGTAATAAATACTTAAAAAATAATTTTTTTTTAAAATGGAATCAATCAGAGTAAATTATGGCTTAGTTGCATTTTATAATTTAAACTATGTATAATCTTAGTTTCATAATTTATTTACCTAGTTAAGTTTTTTCATTTTTAAAAATATAGAAAATTTAATCTTCTATCATTTTTTATCTTTATTTTTTTCAAATTATTTATATATTAAATTGATTGAATTATCTTTACTTAAAACCGATCAACTAAAATATCAAATTTTATTAAAAATATTTTAAATTTTATCAAATTTCAACTAAATTTCTTACCTTTAAAATTTTAAAATTATTTCATATTTTAATTTCATTACAAACTCTAAAAAAATTGGATAAAAAATTAAAATTTGAGAGTTCTGAGCCGAACAAAATTAATGACAAATCCAAAATATGTACAATTTTAAAATTGAAAGGAATTTGTTTAACTAAAAAAAAATTTAAAAAAAGTGTACATATCCTAAAAATAATAAAAATGCAATTAAATCATAAATGATTTAATGTTAACATGAATAATTAATCTCAAACGCTAAAAATAATTAAATGCATTAGATCAACAATATTTTTTTAAATCAAAAATATTTTGATTGAATATTTTTAAATAAAAAATTAAAATAATAAATTAATATAAATTTAATGTATTAATATTTTTTATTGTGAATAAAATATAATTCTATTAAATTAAATATAAAATGGTGTCTAAATAAGATTTTAGTACTTAACAATAGTTTTAGTCCCTTTAAATAATTTTTTATTTTAATCTCTACTTTTAAAAAAAATATTTTTAGTCTTTATTATTGGTTCAATCCACTAAAATGTAATCAATTGTTCATATTTAGGTGAATTAAAAGTAATATTTTACTAAAATATAGAGATCAAAAATATATATAAAAAAGGATAAAAACTTTAAATTATAGAAATTAAAAATACATTTAAGCCTAAAAATATTATTTTGCTTTGCTTTATTTTCAAATATTACCTTTTGTTTAGAAAGGATAAATTTAATTGTCACTGCGTTGAAGGGGGGGGGGGGGGGGGAATCCAAACTCCTTGAACATGTATTCCTTTCATAATTTATCTCCTTTTTAATTTTAATTAAGAAACAAAAATGAGAATAATTATAATTATAAAGAACAACTATCAAAAAATGTCATGCATGCACCAGAAGTTTAGTCCGAATGAATGTTACAATAAACTTTTGTAGAGGCATGTAAAGTGTCTTCACTTCACATTTCAATGCCTTCATAGACTTTTTAGTCATTTTTTAGCACACTGAAAGGACTTCATTAATACTATACTCACAAACTTGTTAATTTAATTTACTACCTAAAATGTGGACGATAATTAATTATATTTTAGTGATTAATAAAATTAAAATAATTTATGTTACTATCAATCTTAATTTGCCAATATAATTAGTCAATAATGTTTAATCACAGAACTCGAACCGTACGCGTGTTTTCTTCTCGTTTAAATAGGGAAACACAATCTTATATTTTATTAGACACTTAGACACATACATGTAAGTTAGCAATGTATCATGCAGTAATTTTGTAAGTAATTATCCTTTAAAATACAAGACAGATATTTAAAAATTTGAATCGGAGGAAAAAAATGAAAAGGAAAGACAATTGATTTTATTTATAAAATTAACTTTTCTTTCCTTCTGAGTAAAAGATCATCATTTGCATTTTCTTTCTTACCCAAAAAGAAGATTATCTTCTCTCATCATATCTGTTTATTTTATGTAGGGATCATGCTAGAGAGGTTGACGTGCCACTGTGCCAATCGATAACTTTATTTTGGCTATGAATTTTTTTTTCCCGTCTTTTTCTTTTATATAATAATTAACGATGTAATATAATAGTTGAAACACATCTCGAATTAGATTACGAAAACTCTTCCTCAGTACTTAATTTAAAGCAATGTCAAGTCTGATGAAGATCAGATGTTTACTTGCCAAGGACAC